AGGAGGAGAGAGAGAGAGAGAGAAGAGAGAGAGAGAGGGAGGGAGGGAGAGAAAAGGACGCTGAGCCTAGCCGGTTCCATTGAGGGGTGCCCAGGGAGGACAGGAAGGGGAATCTCATATTATGTAGTGCACATGCTCCACCGATGCTGGAAAATTGGGGGGGGGGGGGAAAGAATCTGGATGGGCCGATATCTGATGAGGGGAACCAACTTGATGTCCCTGCATAGGTTGACGCGGTATTCTATCTATCTATCTATCTATCCATGATACCCCCCTTTTGGAATGAGCAATCTGCTAGTTATTGTGAGGACTGCAGAAAGAAGGCCTGAAAATTGTGGGCAGCCGGCACTTGTATGATACTCTTCTCGGCTGCAAGTGATCCCCCTGCTCAGATACGGGAGGACCGCTCCAAGATGACCAGGTCGGGGTAAAGGTCGAATAGGAAAGTCTGCTCCCTCCCCGAAAACCCCACCGGTGTTGCCCTGACGGACACACGGACACTTCGAGGGTTGAATGGTTCAATGGTTCAGGAACGAGAAAGGCGCACCCAATTTAGCCCAAGGCCCTTCAGGGGCTTGCTAAGCGAATATTGTTCAACCTCAACCCAGAAGATTTTCAACCGCCGCTTCAATGAGAATTGTTGGCTCTATTAGCTGATGCAGTGTGACGCTCTACGGTACACGTTAATAGGGATAAAGATAGGAATTTCCCAAATTTCCGTGAAGATATTGGGGTTCAGGGGCAGGTCAACCCTCTAGCAGGCAGTACCGTACGGTACAACGTCCAGGAAATGTTAACCGCTATTAACTTCCTTGGCGGGGGAAGAGTTGATAGATATCATACTGGTTATCTTCCAAGAAGCTACTCTACATACTTTCTCTGTGAAATTCGGGTCCTTAAGTTATCCCAGGGAGGAAAGAAATTGCTTGGAATTGCCCGAGCACTGGCCGGGTAAGTTAACTTTAGCACCTAGTTTTTCATTCGCGAAGGATTCACCGTAAGGACTTCCAACTCAAGTAGAGCATCCGGACGCCTGCCGTATGATAGCATTGGCTAACGGCTGTCTCGGGCCAAGGCGTTCGGATGGACTACTGTGTGGGTGGACGATGGTGGACGGCTCGTCCCGGTGCCTTGGTTCTTTGGTCTCAAGAATTTCAGAGACGCCACACACCAATTCCACCGACTGTTACTCGCGCTCCCCTCCGCGACCAATCTCGTGGTGCATACCGGTGCCGGTATCTCAGCTACCTGGTAGTTGTGATTGGGATTCTTCTCCAGGCTGCTGCCCTTTTATCGCAAGTGCAATCTCCCCAATTAAACTACCGCGATCCACGATCACTGTTGTGGGGGGGGGCCTAATAAAATAAACATATGTACTTGAGTAGAGCATCCTTCTCTTGAGAGTTAAGCGAATAGGGGAGATGGACCCATTGACTGTGATATCTACGAGTACCGGTACATTCCGGTGTCGCCGGTCTGTATCGCAAAGCGGGAGAAACCTCGGTAAACGACTGCATCGGACGGTCGATTTTTCCCCCGCCCGTCAGGTCGTATCAATACTGCACTGGGCAAAGCAAAAGTCATCGGCTCGCCTCTTTGTGCTGCTTTCGGGCCGCGGGCTGGAGGGACGTCATGTATCAATCGCACAGTCCCCCGCACTTGTCGGTACAGGTACAGGTGGGATACACATGTTTATCGCACGGGAGGCAATTCCCAGCCAGCCAGAGAGCCGTCGTATCTCTGCGAATCCAACCTTGGGGTGGTCGTCCCGTTCGTTTGTCTTTCGGCCGTTGGGCGGGACGGACCTGCCTGTGGGGGTCGGGTACCGGTATCCGTGCAGGGGGTATCGGTACCGGTACCGGGAAGTTGGGCAAGGAGGATCGATTGTCGGGATGATTTTGAGTCAAGGAGGGGCAAGCGATGCTGTGCGACGTGAAGGAGATTATCACGCTTCCCCGTATCAGAGAGTGAAGAAGCTCAGGTTGCAACCGAAGGAATTGGGTTCCTCGGAACTGGTTGGCGAATTTCGCTGTCTACTTGTGCCTGTTTGGTTGGTTCGTGGGGAAATATAGACTCTTTGACAAATGGGACGTCAAGTGGCCTAAGGTTCAAATTGAGAGGATATTTGAGGTTGAAACCATCAACCAATCGGGCCCCATTCTCCCCCCTGGGGAAAATCAGAAGAAAATCAGCTCAAATTACCATAGGAGAAAGGTGCCTGCGGCAACCTGAGCGCTGCGGCGAGTCACTTGGTGAATTGGACTTGTGCGCAGGCTCGCCCTGTGGGGCTTTGGTTGGTGGGATCTGGTTAACTTGCTTTAGTATCACTCGTCTACGGTAATGAGCGGGAGCGCTTCGATGGGAACGTCAAAATGCCATTTTGCTTCGGAAAAACCTAAGGTGATCGAGCACATTCGATGACAGCCACCCCCCTTTCCGAGAGTAACTCGAAGGGACGAAACTCTTCAGCTTTGGAACACCCCCCAAAGTTGGAAAAGTAAGGAACAGGGTGCATATAGAAGGGAAGAAAGAAGGAGAGAGAGAGAAAGAAAAAAACAGAAAAAAAACAAGAAAAGCGAAAGAACCTCGATGCGAAAAGGAACAAATGCAATGACAAAACCCAACCCGAAATAATGCTAGATACTATAATACTACTATTACTCAACCAGTGAAACAAGTTGATGATGGTAAAATGAAAAGGTCCGCAGCAAAGAGTAGAGAGATAAAATGGAAACCCCTGATCACTGACACACGACAATTTAAGCATCTAGTAAGGATTAACCAAGGAAACCAGTACCATGGGAACGCCCGTAACCATATCGCATCTCCTCGGGCATTCATAAGGAGGAACTGGGACGGGCAGGACAGAAGCAGAGGGATACGCTGTCGCTCTGCTGACTAGCCTTACGGCAAGAGTCGGTATGGTCCGATCCATTCGCATACTCCTCGCCCATGTCGACAGCGACAGAACCCGTAAGCTGGCCGCCAGAATTATGAACGGTGACCCCTAGTTTGCTGCGTCGATAATAGCCGGATTCGTTCTGTGGAGGACCGCCGTTCGGGTTGCCCCCTTGCGGGCGACCGGTCCGGACGAATTCGACACCGTCCCCAACTATTTCGGCGGGATGGGTTTGCGAACCGTGACCCGGAGCAAAGCTCTGTGATGTGGATGAGGTCGAGGTGTTGCTCGAGTGGGTGGAAGAGACCGAGTTGCTGCGGGATATGGATGATTCCGAGACTAGGGAGCTCGAGGAACTCGAGGGAGCTCCCTGAACGATGAGGACGGGACGGGGACTTGCTGTGGCAGACATGATGATTCTTTCAGGTTATTATTCTCTTTTGGAAGCGGTAGTGAAAGGCGTTGTTATGTCTCAATGGCCGGGATGGGGAGCTTGTCGTGTGGGGGAGAAGAAGGTTGAGAATGATCTGGCAGGCGCGTTCGTTGACAGAATTGACGGAAGTCTCGTAGGCGGGTCTAAGGCGTGGAAAGAACAATCGGGGAGATGGGTATGAATGGAGCGAGTGTCCACCCGAGAAGCCGAACGGTGGTATAATAAGGGTGGGGAAGGGTTTTTATTTTGAGGGGGCGATACTGCGGAAAGAGGAGGGAAGAGGGGAGGGAGGGGAAGAACGAAGAGCTCCTTATATACTCATTATCATACGGTACCTCAACCACAGCTCCCCGAAGCATCCTTCCCCACACCCACCCACCACTGCTCGCGGACCTGGACCCGGAGAGTCAGGTGGAATGTCACTGCTTCAAACTTCGCACACGCCCCCGTCATAGCGCAGATCGCCCACGAATGTCACGGGGGGGAAATAATCACCTTCAGGCCCGCAACCATTACAGGAGGATAGCCAATCCGGGCAAGCGAGCAAGCAAGCTCTAAGCCCTAGAGTTCGGCGACGCGGTAATACGGTGGGGCAACGGACGAGTATGGAAAGAAGCTCAGAGGGGAAGGACTGGGGAAATGAAACAATCGTCGTCACTCGGTATGGGGTCAAAATCAACCGCCCTACTTTTTTTTTCTTCTCCCTCACTCTTTTTCCACTCCCTAATTGCTTTTTTCCACACTCTTCGAGCTCGACCTAAGGTGCAGTCCTCGAGCACAGCACCGGCATTAGTATATCCGCTGCGGTTGTATGCTAGGGCAC